TACATATATATATGTACATATATATATATTATACATACATACATATAATATAAAGTTTATAGTATTATTATAATGTGTAAACTGGAACAAATCCCTCGTTGCCTGGCGGTATGACAATCATATCTCAACAATTATACCAATCTTGACTGGTTATTTGAACTGATATATTAACAAAATAACAAGCGATCTTACTGTCATATTTTTTAGGTTTTTTTTAATTAGGCCATGATTCTACTGTCATCCATAGATTTACTGTAAAATCACAGCTATGTTCATCTACCCAGATGGGACTGCTAAAAGCACGCCCTCTCCGGCTATCAGTAGCAGAAGCATTCTTCTTAGTGTAGAGGTAAAATTGATTTTATTATTTGTTCTTATTCAAATAATTATTGTACTTTATACATTGTTAATAATTCTACCTTTTAATTTGCCTATGCAGCACCTTTGATTTATACATAGGCTATTTGAGGGGGCTGGGTGCTATATGGTTTTGTGTGCCTAATTAAATAACAAAATAACAATACACTAAGTACAGTAAATAAACAAATAACAGTCACTAAACTTTAATAATGTTTCATGTTACATTCTTTCAGGAACTACAAAGCCCGGAAAATGATACAACAGTTGCAAACATTTCTAGAAATAGACTCCAAGAAACCTCAAACATCTTAAACAATAGTAGCCTGCCTATTGCTGTTAGCGTTGGAACTGTCGTTTTATTATTACTTTTAGCTGCTGTTATATTCTTTGTAATCAGGAAAAACAGAATAAGAGCGCGCTCAAAGTTGTTCCTTTTGGATACTAATAGAGATGGATTGTCTGAAACTTATTCAGAATCGGACGACGAAAACAATTGTAATACAATGCTTTAGTGGTTTAAACGCAAATCTCCACGCAATGGTGTCCCCGTCTCAGGTGACATACACATGTGTATGCTCGGCCTCATGTGTTTAGGTTCCTGGCGTGTTTAGCATTAGTTGTGCTTAGGTATTTCAGACCATGATGTCAAGTACCTAAGCACATTTAATTCTAAACACGTTAAAATCCTAAGCATAATATTAGGAATAAGATAGATCTAAAAACATTTAGCTTTTAAATGTGTTACCAACGACCGGACAACATCGCGTGGAGTTTTGCATTTAAATCTGCCACACTGTTTTTACAGTGTATCAAGTCCCTAATTTGTCATAGCTTATATATCAAGTAGGTTTGTTGCTGAGGTAGCACCGTCGACACAATTTAAACAAAATTGTACTAAGTTCAATTGTTCTCTTTTGATGATCCAATTAATATCTAAGAAAAACAAAAAATATTAAAATAAAATTTTACTGGTTTTATAGATATAAAAAAAGTACGTCACATTCGTTTTCAATTAAACTTATATCATAAGAAATTGTCATCGTTGTTTGGCTCATTCTGTCTATAGTGTTCTTTGTGTCGTAACCAAAATTCTATGTGATGATAGCTAATGTCAGTGGGGGACGGAGTGCAGTGGCCGTTGTCTGGGAGAGCGCGCCCCCATCAGGAGAAAAAATACGCAATTTGTCAAGAAGAAAAACAAATGAAATTTTCACAGACTGTGAAATCAATTAAATAAGCCTTTTTTAAAAAGCTTAAAACCCCTAAATAGTTAAAACCTTAAAGGCTAAAACCCCAAAATAATTCTAGTCGACGGGTTCTGAAATGTCCTTGGTCCCACCCACTTATAATACCGTCGGCAAAATTTCCCTTCGCCTCTCTTCCTCCTCTCAGCCAAACTTTGGTGCCAACACTGGGTAATTCCAGATCTTAAAAACAAATTGCCATGTTGCATCCCCTTCAATATTATTCCATGCGATTATTATTATTATTATTATTATTATTATATAATACATACTTCATTGTACAATATATGATCAATCTATTGATCCATTACTCAATACACGATATATTGTATAAATTCATTTGACTGATTACGTCATGTGATAAGCCTCTATTATGACAATTCCATTCCATTTTAATAGGTGTTTTTAAGCAAGTAGGTCTAACGATAATAAGAACCAAACATTACAAGGGTGAACACTAAACTAATAATTGTCATGCTGCTGTTACTAGTAGTTAACCTGGAGCCGTCGCCGTCGTAGACACCCTTTACCGAAGGTCAAAAGCAAATGGGGCCCATGATCGGAAGAGAAATGTAATCAGGTCGTAAAAGAGTCAGTCGGAGGAGCGGCATGCCCCGGGGAATGCTATCGAAAAGTTAGCCTGCCACAAATTATACCACAGCGGTGGAACTCCAATGGACGGTTATTGCACTTTTCCTAGTCCTTACAGCGGGAAATGCTGTTCTGAGTGTACGGTCAAGAATTGCCTATCGGGTAACTGGAGAAGTTGGTGGGGTTTCACCTTGTTCAGGTACACCCACAGAAAAAGTTTAATGTGACCAATTTTGTTTAAATCGTTGCACTTTTCTTACTGGTCGATGCCAATGCGTTACGCTATATAGTGGTGAATTCTGTGAAATATGTCATGCAGTAGGTTGCAAGTGGAGTGAATGGAGTCAGTGGACACTTTGCGAGCCAACTTGCGGTGGTAGTCATCAAAGAACAAAGTATAGGAGTAAAGTAAGTTTCGGGTGTGTGCTGCATGCATGGGCTCAGATACAGAATCCCAAGACTGAATCCATATGCTACAGCGACTAAGTGTCTGCAGAGGGACACTGTGTTTGATCTGACTGGAGTGCCTGGTCAAGTTGTGCACCAGAATTCGGACCGGAGAGATTACGATTGCGAACAAAAACAATGCTAATCCAAGGAATACATTGTGGAGAATCACGCGAGAGTCAAACATGGCCTTAAATCTGCTGTTTCAATAGCTGTACAAAAACTATTATCTTGGAGAAATCCATTCACACAAAATATAAATTAACACCATGGAGCCAATGGTCAGGGTGCTTTCCAGGCTGCGGTGTCACTTATGAAATGTCTTTTAGATTTTTAGGTTCTTAAAAATTTAAGGTTTTCCCCTCTTGAAAACTGTCAGGTAACTTTTTTCATTCTTATTTTTTGTGTATACATAAATGCACAAAATTAAGTAGTTGCATAGCCTACGTATCCTTTTTTCCATGAATCGAAAGTGGGTCCGGGAAAATTTGGATTTCTAGATGGCGGGTAATGGGCTTGCCTGACTTCTGATGTGTCTTTTACTGAATTTTGAATTCTTCAAAATTAAAGGTTTTCCCTTTTATGTTTCTGATGAATTATTTGGGAATACGCAACTAAATAAATCAAAAAGATTATCTGAAATGATTCATAATCAAGGATATAGTAATCTTAGTCGAATCGGTAGCAAAAAGACCATTTAACCGATGTTAACAGAAAGTTAAACTTCCATTAAGCATTAACGCAACACTTTAAATGCAAAAAAAGTTCATAACAGTTTCAACAACTTTAAAAGTTCGAGGAGTTCATGCTGATCAGTGATCAGTAACAAACATAATCTTTCAATTTGATTGGTTCATGGCGGATTCGTGTGGATCTCCGTAGAGGTGGTTGTTGGTCTATTGGTGTGTCTAGTTGGATCGCTGGTTTTTCATTGGTGTTAAGAGTAGGTGCCACATTTTGCGTGTTAGTGACATCTTCAATTTGTTGTGGGTTAGTCGGTGGGTCAGGAATATCATAGTCTGAGAAGTCTGCTTCTTTGGTTTTCCATGTTCACAGTTTCGTATGTACATGGTATTTCCTTGTACCACCTTGTAAGACATTTCACTTAATCTTTTGCATATTCTGGCCTTTTTCCACTTCTCACCTATTCAAAACGGTTTCATTCTAACTATTTCATTTTCGTTGAGTGGTGGTAGATCTTTAGTTGTGCGGTTGTAATACTTTTCTTGTCTTTTTTTTTTTTGGTTATGGCGTAGATGTCTCATATCCACCTCATTTGTTTTCAATGGTTTGAGTAGTTGCTGCACAGTTGGTACAACTGTCTTTGTTCTACGTCCAAGGAAACACTGTGCTGGGCTGATGTTTACTGCTTCTGTAGGGGTATTTCGTACACTCAGTAATGCAAGGTTGATGTCATCAGCAGTGGATAGGCATTTTCTCAATTGTCTTTTTGCTGACTTAACTGCAGACTCGGCTTTTTCGTTTGACAGTGAAGTCTGTAAATTCTGCTAAATCTTCGTCGATGCTTAGCTCGTCTCTCACACTAAAATAATATGGTTTTAGTCTCTGGCATAGCTTGTCCTTGTGATCAGGCCATCCATCTTGGATACAATCTTTTAGTAATTGATGTACCTCGTCGTTGGCTACAATTCTTTTAATCTCCTTTATTCTTTGCTCTGAGAGGTACTGCACAGCATGCACCACTTCAAAGTCATTTTGACCCTTAACATAAGGTATGAAAGATCTACTAAGAGGGTCTGCGATTAGATTATTTCTTCCTTGTATGTACTTGATAGTAGTATCATATGCCAGAACTCGTAGCAACATGCCTTGAAGGCGTTTTGGTGCCTCATCCAATGATTTCTTGGCAATGCACTCAAGGGGCCTGTGATCTGTGTACACAGTTACAGGTCGTCCATACGTGTACTGGTGCCACTTTTCTAATGCGAACACCACAGCTAACATCTCTTTTTCAATTACAGCATATCTGGTTTCTGTCTTATTCAGTGCACGGCTGGCATATGCCATAGGTTTCCCACCCTGAAGTAGCGCTGCTCCGATACTACGGTCACTTGCATCAGGGTGTAATACTAGGTCTTTCTGTGCATCAAAATAAGTGAGGATGGCAGTCATCGTCAACAACTGCTTTAAATCTTTGAAGGCATTGTCATAGCTCTCAGTCTATTTAGAAGCTACCTTGGCAATCGACAACAATTTGTTTCAGTTGACTCTTATAATTCTCCTCTTTCTAAAATCAACTGTGGTGTTCCAAAGGTGTCAACGCTTGGTCCTTTATTATTTTTAATTTATATTACGATCTAGCAAATTGTTTATCATTATTAGGTTTTGTTCTGTTTGCTGACGACACCAATCTTCTCTATTCAAACAAAAACTTATCAGAACTTTTTAAAATTACTAACACTGAATTAAGCAAGGTATCCAATTGGTTTAAATTATCTTTAAAAATTAAACAAAAATAGATAATAATATTATTAACCAGGTCAGTGAAACAAAAATTGTCTCGGTGTAACATTAGATTCCAAGCTTTTCTGGAAACCTCATCGTAACAAAATTTTTAATATTATTTCTGGAAATATTGGTGAGTCATGAATAAGCTAAAAAAGGGATTTTCCCCCAGATATACTTTTATCATTATACAATACCTTAGTCCTACCCTATATTAACTATTGCAATCTCTCGTGGGCCACCACAGTTGATAAACATACACACCTATGCCTCTGGACAAGTCTTGAGACCACCAGTATTTATAGCATTTTTGAATTACAAAAAAAGTGCTCTCAGGATTTGTTCAGGGTCAAGTCGTACTACACATACTAAACCTTTATTTTATAAATATAATACACTCAATATATTTGATTTAAATAAACTACAAACCTATAATTTTATGTATTGATTTATAAGTAATACCCTCCCAATTCATATTACCCTATTATTCCCAACCCAACAGTCTGAAATCCATAACTATCCAACCAGGTTTTCATAAAACAATATCACCACAGAAAAATGTATATCTTCTTATAGAAAAAAAAAAATCAGTATTTTATAATGAACCTAAGTTATGGAATTCCCTTGACCCCTTTTAAAAATCTTTACCCAGTTTTTCTTCTTTTAAACTTAATATCAAACGATATCTGGTCTCGATGTATGGTAATTAAGCCTTCTCCAGTGTGTATTATAATCGAAACCAGACTACCTGTTTATGTTATTAGTTTCTGTATATTTATTTTTATTTTAATGGTGGCCACAAGTTTTTTTTTTTTTTTATTGTGGTCTCCATCTACATAGATTTTTTTTAATTCTTTGACCATGTGTATGATTTTCTTTTGTTCATTATGTGGAAAATAAATAAATAAATAAATAAATAAATAAATCAATCAATCAATCAATCAATCAATAATGGCATGCATCCCATGACCACACTGTGCCTGTGCAAGTTAGTGCAGAGATCGGCTCCATGACCTCAGATAGCTTTGGTAAGAATGCAGAAAAGTAATTTACCATTCCCCGCAGTCGGTGTATTTCATCTTTATTCTATGGTGCTTTCATCTGAAGTACGTCATCAATTTTAGTTGGGTCTGGTTTTAAACCATCTTTGGATACAGTGTGGCCTAAATAGGGTACCTTATCTACTCCAAACTTTGACTTTGCTTTGATGATTACAGTGAACATCTTCCAAGCCACCAAGCGCTTG